AGAGCAGAGCAGAGAACATAACAGCCGTCACGAAACTCACCATAGTAATAGTCAATACGACTCATGTTATAATCTCCTGCATACCAGATCTCGAACGGCTCGTGAATATCATCAAAAGGAAGATGTATAACTCCATTTGAGTGATAAGTACGGGGTAATCCAAACCTCCCATCGTACAGCCCATGTCTAGTGACATTGAACAGTGAGGCATCATGGGCAGGGCTACCATGATGTCCCGTAGTATTATTACGCGCCTTTGTTTTACAGTTCTTTTGTCGTTGTTTATARATAATTCTTCCCACTATGACACTGATGGTCGCAATCACCGAAATAGCCGACAGAACAAGCGCAAAGACAAGAATCTTCCTCATTATTACAATAATTATATTCAGAAAAAATAAAATTTGAAAATTYTGAAAATCCTTGGAAATTTATGCTTGTAAAATTTACTATTATACAGATAGAATTTCTCTGTCTTTGGAAAAAGAGTATATCCAAAAACAGTTCGAAAACTTGAGCAATGTAAAACGATCAGGTTTTTAGATACGAAACTCGAAAATTTTAACTGATAATTTCATGTCAAAAACTGCTAAATAAACGGCGGTTCAAATGGATGAATGAAAATTGGTGACGTTTGAAATCGCACCATTTACGCCAGTCTAAATGAACTGTTTAAGAACGCCTCTACAACCAAAAGTTTCTTGTAACAATTACTATACTTGTCCTATAGTAGACAACGCCAGCTTGTCCTGGACTCGATCTTTTATAACAAATATGTCTTCCAGAATTTTTCATTCTCTGATGTTTATATAATCTTACTGGTACTAAAGTTTGTTTGAATTTTCTGTTAGCTGGAATTTTTATCGTTGGTTATGTTTTGTATTTTTTACCAATCAACAAAGAAAACAGTTTGTTCCCGCCCTTTCCATGATCAACTCATATTAAACAACCTTGAATCAAAATGGCCGGTCACCTCATCCTCCTAAACTCAAAAAGATGCTTAAAAATAATAACTYAAACATCTTTGGAGGAGATTCTAAAATCTTTTTTACAAATATGAATGTTGTGTAAAAAAGAATATTTTTTTTGTAGAAGTTTTTTTTTTGCAAAATGGTTTCAATTTCGAGGAAGCCATTTTGAAGTCCTCAAGGAATTTCGCGCGCCTTTCCCCGCTCTGTTCTCGAATTCTAATCGTAAAAGAAACGTTTTTGAATTCTAACTTACCGTAATAATAGTCTATTCTGCTCATGTTGTATTYCCCAGCGTACCAAGCCTCGAAAGGTTCAACTATCCCATCATAAGGAAGAGAGATCGTACCATGTGTGTGATAAGTACTTGCAAATTGAATGTGATGTTTCATCTTATCCCAGTAATGTCCTTTATGGTATTTTATAAGTTCTTTCAATTCATTGGAAAGTTGGTTAATAATTTTGTCAGGATTAGGATATAATGTTTCCAAACTTTCATCTTTATTCGTGTCGTTTAAAGGCGAGTTAAGGTCATTGAAAGTTTCGTTGCTCGATCCTTTGATTTTCATATGAAGTGTACCGACTGAAGACGTTTTTCCTTCCATCGACTTTAGAATACTTGCCAACCGCTTTTTATCAAAATTATTCAGATCTCGCAATTTAAAAATCCCTCTTAATGAACCGTTTATAGTACTCAAAGCCAAGTCTTCGTCCCCATCAACATTTTTCAAGTTGTTTGCTTCGTAGTTATGAGTTGTATCTTCAACAACGGTACGATTCGATTCACCAGCCATCTCATGAACACCCGCATCGTTTTTTGACAAATTAAGATTCAAGTTGTCATTATTAATAACAGATGTAGACAGATTTTGTTCGACTCTCCCATCATGCAGCTCCTCTATTCGTTTCGACGAAAAATTCCCGAACTCTGTCGAATTTTCGGTTGGTTTCTCTTCAATGATAACACCGGTTGTTGTTTGGTCTTGACGAATCTTTATCTTGTCGAAAAAATAATTTTGTCCAGAGGAGAACAAGTTGTCAAGAACTAGATACCATAAAAGATATCCTAGAATCATGATAGGCTTGTGTTTTTCTTCGCATAAATTTCCTTGTTTTTCGCTGCCATAAAACACGAAGAGTTTTTACTTGTGGGCCGACATCAACGTTGTTTTGTAGGATGCGTTTGCTTGCTGACTTTTTGATCCAAAATATTTCATTCAAAACATTATTTCATTGTCATTTTCAATTAATAAATCCCATCGAGTTGAATTAAGAAGAATTTAATTGTGTTGGGATGTAAAAATCAAAAGTTAAAATATATCTTTATTTATATATTTACTTTTGATCATATTTTGCTTAACAGTCAAACCCACTCAGCCGATTGATGAAACTCGACTGTGATTGGTTASTAGCTCGCTTGTTGAAAAACCGTTTTGTGTTTTCTGGTGCTCAAACAATACATTATCTTTTAGATACATTCTTGTTCATAAAACACTTATACCTGTCGTTAAATATAAAATATTTATAGCTCGATATACTTCGTTGCAATAAGTGTGGTAATTTGAACAAATTAATTTKTTACTAGGACTGTTAAGCTTGGTGGTCAAAAATAATGCGAAAATCGTGAGAAAAATATATTATACAATACAATAAACTTTATTTAACACATGAATTTAAGAGCGATAGCAAATACATGCTGATATATCGATTAAAGATCTGGGCCCRGTTGMATAAAGCTCTCTTAAGATAAGAGCATCCGTAAGTATTGTTCCAAAACAATAGGCCATTGTACTAAGACATATACTTACGAGTCGAGTGTTTTTAGGTTTTTTTATCTTAAGAGAGCTTAGTATGCAACTGGGCCCTGGTTACTTTGAAACACACCTGCCAGCAACCGGATGATAGAAAAACGCTATCAGCACCTCATGCTGGCTAGACGCAAACGTTTCTTATGTACCACTTATTGAAAGTTCAAATTTGATTTTTTTCTTCTTTTTTTTTTTTTTTTTTTTGATCAACGAACCGCCCCCGCCCTCCCTCATTCAACTTTTTTAGACTAAAAAAAAAAATCGGGCACCGAAATTTCATTACTTCTTGCGGGATTCCYGTGGATATGGCGGGAAACTTTACTCATGAAACGCGTACGCGTGTGTATTGGCGGGAAAATTACATTGCACCCCCGTCAAGACATCGATACACCCCTGATGTTCAATGAAATGCTGCTTGATTGGAAGCCATATATTGATAAACAAACTGAACCGAAAAAAATATCAATTAATTGAAATCAAAAATTACAAAATTATTGCTAAAATGATTTTTATTTCAAAGGAAGGTTTATTAAATAACAAATCTATGATACAGTATTGTCATCAAAATTGCAATTTGTACAARCGGTATTATATGTTTGTGCGTGAGTCTGGAGCGTGAGTTTCGTGTATTTACGTGAACTGAATCACACTTGTTTGYCTCATATTGAATACAATTTACACTTAGATCCACAGTCCGAATGGTGTACGAGTCRACGTAGACCATGAGGCTATGTACTTGTATCTTCGCGCATGCGTACATTGCATCATAGCCGCCATCTTGGAGGACTTCATAAAATAATTAGCTGTTATTCGACATGACCATCATGTCTTTGCTGATATTTCTTATAGAAATGTTCTAAGTATCAAAGTTGTATTTTCCCTCTAAAATAAATGTGCCACTAGTGAGCGAGCTTGCATGTCATAATCGACCTGTGTAGCTAAACCGGAGAACCCGGTTGAATAAATTGAATAACTTATATAAATTCATTACATTCACTACATTCACACTAAGTCAKAACCTTGCTAATTTGTTGCAAATGCATCTTACGTCAAACTAAATGCCTAACGACTCGGTATTCAAAGTAACTTGCTAATTTTCATAGCCGCCATCTTGGTTAATTATGAATTTCCTGTTGCTCGGGCATATGCTCAGAGTTAGTTTAGCAGATTCTGTGTATAATATTCATGTTACAGTGAAGGTCCTTCGTGGAAGCTCAAGAGTGTTTGTATTCGGTTAAATGTTTGCATGATTATTTACTTTACCGTCGGCATTTAAATATTTCAKCATTGACTTTGAAGCCAACGCTGAGTAAATGAGWCTGTAATYAAGRAACRCAACGGYCTAATTCGAAAACATTCTATTTTATAGAAGCGAACTAGGTATTTGTCATTATATATGTATATATATAATATCTTTTGTTATATCAACCAAMATGGCCCCCATACAATGTTGTTCTCTAGAGAATCAATCTTCGTACAATTTGAAATCATTTCTACGGTAAAAGATCGTTACGCATCGTCGTTGAAGGTTTATCTCGATTCTACTTCAGCTACTTTGTTAAGAACAATTTAAACAAAGAGAAGTTTCGTTTCTGCGCTTAACATGCGCTAAAATTCCCCATGTTGTATGGTATCACCAGTATTGATGGTATCTGTGTCTTTTAGATAAAAATATTTTATCTTTYTTAGCAGACTTGTCCTTCTGCCAAGGAAGTGGTTTGTTACTTTTATTCAGGACTACGAAGGGTCGTTTCTCAATTCCACAAAGCCCTTGTTTGATTTTAATAAAGCCATGATTACCCCATTTGTGTGACCAGGAATTCTTTACCAGCCAGTAAGGAATTCCGCCATGCTTGCCATAGCCWATCAGAAGCACAGCATGATCTGTCTTGTTACCTAGGAAAAAAATAAAATTGCACTGTTTTTCGGGCAGGCTGACAGTGAATCAAGAGTGGTGTAGTGCATGGTAGGGCACTCGCCTCTCACCTCACGGGTCTCAGGATTTGATCAGTCATGGACTCGATCGGCATCACATGTGAGTAGAGTTTATTGGGTCTCTCACTTGATTCAAGGGTTTTTCTCCAGGAGGTTCTCCGGTTTCCCTTCGTCAGTCTAGAAAACCTAACACGCTAGTTTTCGATGTTATCTGTGTGTCAGCCTTGCACTGACGTATATCAGCCCAGAGATTGTTTTAGGGTTCAATCTGTGAGTTAGCCGTGCCCTGACTTAGATCAGCCCAGAGGTTGTTTTAGGGTTTGATCTGTGAGTTAGCCGTGCCATGACTTAGATCAGCCCAGAGGTTGTTTCAGGGTTCTACATCTGTGAATTAGCCGTGCACTGACTTAGATCAGCCCAGAGGTTGTTTCAGGGTGATTTGTGAGTTAGCCATGCCCTGACTTAGATCAGCCCAGAGGTGGTTTCAGGGCGGATATTATTAAAGGTTATTAATTGCTGATGTTTATTAGAACCAAAAAAGTTAAATTCAAACTCACTGCAAGAAATGTCATCCAGAACACCTTTACTGTAGAATTTCAGTGTTTTTGGGTTGGCGTTGATGGATATGGTTGCTGGGCCGTGAAAYGACAAAGCTTTCTTGAGAGCGATTCGATTGTAATGTTTCACTCTTCTGTAACTGTGGATTCGTGCTCCTATGGTCACATTCTTCAGTTTACAAAACCCCTCCTAAAAATAAATATTCGTTAATAATAATTAATACCAAAATATTAAATAAATAATTTATTAATACAAAAATATCAGAAATGTAACTTTTCAAAATAGTTTCTATCGTAAATGAARAAGAATATATGCACAACGTTAAAATAAAGAATGCACAACTTCAACAATACAAACACTTTGAAATTCCACGGACCTTCACTGGAACAAATGAATATTCTGCACAAAGTCTGGGCTAACCSTGAGTAACAGAGAACTCGAAACTGGAATATTATTGAGTCAAGGGGTCTTTATATTTATTACCTGTCCTCGGTAAGGTCCATAACTTTTCGTCTTGGCCAGGCCAAACTTCTTTACCCAGGAGAAAGCTTTCCAAGTCCATCCACCAAGACACCCATTATTTCCTTTGTCAGCGCCTGGAGTAAACCAAGTACAGTCTAACAGCTGCTGCTCAGAAAGATTTTCTAGTTTTCCTGTCTAGATATTTTAAGAACACAAATAGGAAAGATTAAGTTGATTCCATCTTTAACACGGGACCTGATTTAGAGGGAGGGTGGGGGGTGGGGTGGGGATATCTCGTACCACCACCTCTGGACTTGAAATACTGGATTTTGTTCTCGCAAATATATTCAAAATTAAAAGTCAAATCGCAGAAAGAAATGTACTGTCTGTTTTTATGTATGCTGAAAATAACAAATCGCTCAAAGATTTCCATGTCCTGTCTTCTTTTTGACCATGGATGACGTCATGGAGGGCGCGCTAGCGATTCGTCATTCTGTGTTTTTCCTTTTATTTTCAGCCAATCAGATGGCGAGTCTGCAGTTGTTGTAAAAAACGTATTTGTGTATAAAAAAAGTCACTAAATATAGCTAGTAATGAGCATTCAACAGGTCTCTTAAGGGGGGAGGGGAGGGGGYATTTACCGGTAYCTATTACYTAAATCAATAGTGCTCTATACCTTGATAAAGTTGGCACCTTCGATGGCTCCTGCTGCGGCGAARGCCCAACATGAACCACACGTTCCTTGTCCTTTAGGAGGATTGACTGCGCCTGAAAAAAGGGAACAAAACCATGAAAAATGTTTGTTTTTTATTGTTGACAATACTTTGTTTTTTATTGTTGACAAAAATTGGTAATGGCATTTAAAGGACTACCGGTTTAAATTCACCAATCAAGAAACAGAAAGAGACATATTAGTCATTCAAATAAAAACCCAATTAAGTGCCACGTGTTCTTACCGTATTTTCTCCAATCCAGTTCATCAGGAATCTTGAATTCTTCTTTGAGTTTTTTATTTTTCTTGTGTCGATTAGAGATGTGGTTTCTTCTATAGCTTTTACTATCTCTTGAACTACCAAAGTTGCTATGGTAACTGTCATCCTCATCATGTCGATGTCTTTCATCTCTTTTGTCATCTCTTTGTGTGTCTCTATCAYCATCATCATTGTGGTATCTTTCGTCATTGTTATCATATTTTGATTGATCATCATCATCATCATCGTGTTTATGTTTTTCATCGTCATCATCTCTTCTATCATCACTAGGTTTTTCATCGTCTGTTGGTGCCTCATCATGACTATGATAATAATAATCATCATCATCATTTATATCCTCCTGGCCTTTGTCATCATCGTCATCATTGTCACCCATGTCTCCTTTGTAAAAATTAAATTCTTTATCGGTCAAGTCAGCAAAGTGATTTGCACTCAGACGGTAATTGAGATTTCKTCTGTTCATCGACCGAATGTACCTGAATATAATAAAGAGCTTTTAAAAGGGTTTATTGTTGCAAGGTAACCTGGCACCAATACCACAGGAAGCCCATACCAGACAGCAAAATGGCAAAAGATGGCATCTCAAATTCTCAACTAAAATCGGGTGAAAGGTTTTCTGGATCAATGTTTTCAGTTATAAACACRGTTATTTATTTGCGCAAAAAAAGGGGAGGGGAGCGGTGGGCGATGTCTAGTCACTACCAAATTACTCCTGGATTTACGTCTGCGCATGTCAACTTTAGAAGACAGCTGGTCCTACCTGACATTATGTCTGAARATATGCTTTCTCTTCTGRTGYTCCTTTACATCTTTATACACTTTCCTGTGTTCGTTTTTAAAGTCATTAAAATCTTGTTCAATAGGGTCGGCTTCGTGTCCCACRGAGGTGAATTCGCTCATGGGATTCAACGAGGCAGACGCTCCGTCGCCTGATCTTGACATCTTTGAGGTGTCCCAGCACCATTTGTCGTGATGTACTGTGAATAATAAAATAGCTGTCATAAATCTYGCTTTCTTATTGGTTGAGGCGCGTACTTAATGAGAGCAAACAGCATGCGTGCGCACTTCATTTTAACATTCGTATCTAAAGGAATTAACGGCTACTTCAATTTGGTTTTCGTAAAAAAAAGTAATAATTGCTAGCACTCCTGTTCTGTATGCATTTACGAAGCACTTGTGTGTTGAGAGGTGTTCTGCTAATCACCGCGTGCTCTATAACTGCACACTGCACGTGCGCGCTCTTTCTATTTCTTCATGATGTAATGTAAAGAGTCTAGGAAGGATAGAATGAGATGAATGAAAGTGAAGGGGAGGGGGAGGGGTGGGGAATGGTTGCAACTTACGATGAGGAATCTGGAACTTTTTTSTATCATATTTCCATTTTTCAAACGAAAGATAATCGATGACGTAGGAGTCATAATAGGAGACCAGTAGTGTATCATATCCGTTCATCTCCAGGCGGACAGGCAGGGGAGGGTCTGTCTTTGTAGCGTAGAATACATAGCTGTTCTTCTTGTCTAAGACGTTGACCTTGTAAGTCCATTTGGTGCATAGCTTGCCTTTGATGCGTTTATCACCAGCATACTATGTATAAAATGAAATATAAGCTCTTTTACATTTGGCATGATAAGTTCCCATGTCCCAGCACGTTTAATGCCCTTGAGTATGATTTCTTTGATTGCCGGTAAGTTTGGAGTAGRTATAATATATCAATATGAATGCAACTTTCTTATACGGTACCTTGAAGTCATTGATTTTGGATCTGAAGGGCCATGATGCGTTATGTGGAAGGATTGTCTGYGCGTTAATCTTTCGCTTCTTGACTCCATAACGTTTCCAACACCCCTTCCAGTGTTTTTTGCTTTTGTAAGAGTACTTAGGAACAATTTTAAAGAACATTCCGTATCTACCAATATCACCACGCTGGAATGTCTTGACATCTCCTGAAATAAGTAAGTAAATAAATAAAGGGATGAATAGATAAAATTGAGATTATTAGCAGACTTTATGAGATAAATGGCGAAAGCTTGAAAATTTATATYTTTTTCTCTTAACTCCGTAAGAACGCTAGTCATATATCAATCCTCGTGACCATGGATAACTTTATCGCTAACAACAAAAAGAAGAAATGTTGAACTAAATTTTTTGAGTCTCGAACAATTTAGAARATTTATAGTAAAAGAAGAGTTATTTTACTGATTTTTAGGTTATTTTGAAATATGAAGTTCAATTATGATGATTTCATTACGCTCACACGAAGAAAGAAAAAAACAAACTAGCAAAACTGTTGAAAGAAAATCTGTTCTTTTGTCTCTGAAACTCGTGTTGTAATTTAATCTTGATGAACGGAATTGTGATTTGGCTTTTCTCATTTTCACGTATCATAATTCTCAAAGTAGCGTTGCGATGAACTTGTTACGGAGTATACAAGCTTAAGATTCGGTCGTAAGTCGTAAACGTTGACCAGCTATATTGTATTCTAAAAATCTGGCTACTTTTTCAATTCTAACATATATTTTCGCTTATAATTACTTACCATTATAATAGTCTATCCTACTTTTCTTCCTTGATTGACTATACCATATTTCAAACGGCTCGTTGATATTGCTGGTAACTAGATGAAGAACGCCAGTAGAGTGGTATTCCTCAGGGAAATGTAAGCTTGCTAAGTTATCTCCAATTTTCAGTTCTCTTTTAGAAATAATTTCTGATATGTAGCTTCGAAAGTCGTCGCGTTTAAGATAAACATAAGTCCCAGCTGTAGCTACTGTAAGTAGAAAAGCAGTCACTATGATCTTCCAGTAGGCTGGCATTCCTCTCTAAAGTTGATCTTTTTCGGTCGATAATTCAAATGAATAATCCCAACAGGTCTTTCTACGGATCCTTGAAGAACTTTGAAATAGCAGACGGGAAAAACACTTTAAGGCCGTCGCACACTCACACAACGGGGGAAAAACGAGCTACAAGTCGGAGGAAAAAATCTAATAATTATCATTTATGTCATAGATATTTAGGGGTATCATTTAGGAAAGTTACATTGAAGATTTTGGTAGYATTTTGTTGATATTTATGTATGACTCGAGACGTTTATTACGTCAGATAGAAAGAACGGCTGACTGACAGTATGTTTGTATTATCAACATGTTCCTTATTTGGCAAGGAGACACCAGTGAACTTGGTCAATAAAATAAGGCCTACGGTCGAGGGTCATCAAACACAGTAGAAAGRAACACTTCTAGCTATTTCTGGCTGTTGTCTTTTGTATCAAACTAGAATATGTTATGATGGTAGGAAGAAAACCATATGCGTTAAAATACTTCTTAAAAATATGGTTTAATTCCGGTTCAATACATAAATTTCACCTTCAGTAAAATCAGAAAAATTAGGAAAATCAGAACTACATGCAAAGAAATCAGCTATATTTGCTATAGTTTTGCCAATGAATATTATTTTTATTGTCATACAATATTCATATAATATTCATTCAACATTTCCTTGGCGAATGGTTATTGAAAAAAAAGCATCGAGTATGTTCTTAGTCGGAAACTCTTTTTAGTTTTGTTGGTGAGAAGGTGAGAACATGAATGCAAACAGTGTAAAAATAGCACACTCAACATTTACTGAAAAAACTTAATCATTCAAACCGGCTTAGTAATCATAGATAAGAAGGAGAAACCTTTAGGATGGGTAGAAGACAACTTGATTTAAATGAATTTGCATCCAAGCTCAATATTACATTCATAGTTAATTCTGCAAGCAGATTCATAGATAGATTTTGAAACCGGTTTTACCGRTAACAAGTTTGAATGCAAAGAAATTGCGAGGGGGAGGGGGGGGGTGTGTGTGGAGAGAGGGAGACATTGTATTTGCACCTGTTTATATCTTTGGCAGGTACCTGCAGCATTAGTCATAAAAGCCCGTCCACAGGGTTCCCAAACTAGTTTTTTCTCTTCTTAAGACTTAAGAATTAAATAAAACTTATTGGGCTTCCTCTGTATCAGCTATTATAAGTGCCAGGCTCGTTTCTCGATGCTGACTAAAAAACGCAAGCTCTGGTCATGTGACCAAAACTTTTCACCTTCCCAGTGCCTCTCATATTAATAGGAGGGGTACTGGGATTGATGAAGAAAAGTTTGAAACTTTTTGTTACAAAATAGTTTAATTTCTGTTTTAAAAACCAAATTATTATAAAAATATGTACTATTTACAAGATATGTAGATACTCTTTCGATATGTAGCATGTGTCTTTAATCGAGTACTTGATGCAACACTAATGTAACCCCRCCCTACTCATACCTCGTTATAAAGCTGAAGTCGCTTCATTGAGTGAAATATCAGGTGTAACATATTACTTGTTAACGTCAATTGGAATGTCTCATTTTTGATCTGACGTAAGGCTTTTCCACTTATGGAAACTTGCATTCGCTTGAGTGTTATTTCTTTCTTTTCTAACCGACGGGGTCAGACCCCTTTATAAATAATATCTGTATGCAAAATGTGTTCATAAGGTCTTCTTGTAATTTCAGAACACATGTCATTCCCTTGAGTATTATTCCTTATTTGAACCTATCAGAACCAGAAGCTACATCCATATGGAATAAACYCAGGGAATCTTATTCCTTAGAGGTTTGAAATAGTAAACATAGCAAGATCTATGTAGTTCTTATATATGTAAAAACATTTCGCATTCGACACACAAATCCAACATGGCGGCCATCACGTGATCGTGCTATTTTAGAAGATACTGCACGGACATCTTTCTCGGTTTGCGTTTATCGCCACAGCCTTCTATCATCCATCATGGTGGCCATCACTTGATCGTGCAATAATACTGCACTGATAATGCAATGCTTTTTATCATCCAACAATGCAGCACCCGTCTATCTATTTTCCACAACTGTCTTTTTTCATCCAAAATGGATGCCATCACGTGATCGTGCATTTATACAGTATAATGCACCGCTGTCTATCTTGGTTTGGCGTCTATCAAGACTGCCTTCTTTCATCCAACATGGATGCCATCACGTGATCGTGCATTC